GTATATACACACTGTATAGAGGTTAGAGACCAGGTGCATGGTCTCTAACCTCTGTAGCATGAGAGACCCATGAACAGCCAGAGGAGCGTCTTCGGTTTTAAGGTGCTTTCTTTGAGCTGGCGATGCCTTCAGGACACAGTGCCAAACCTTGGGTTTGCCAAGACAATTTTTTTAAACTTTCTGTAAATTTCGTAAACGTTGTAAGCAGTGTGCAGGTGACTGTAGTTATTTTATGAAACCAGGGGAGATATACTGTAAATAATCAATTGTGCCAGCTAGGATAGAGGTGGGTAGCGATTTTTTTTTTCAGCTTCAGCAGATGTTGTTTTGTGTTGTTTCCACAAACTCAGCTCCCGGTTCGTCCGTAACTTTACATACATTTTGTAAACCTGTAAACTTCGTAAGCGGTGTYCGGGTAACCACAGTTATTTTATGAAGGCAGAGGAAGACGCATAAAGAATAATTTGCGCCGGCTTGGATAGAGGGAGTGATTTTACATTTTCAGAAAATGTTGTGTGTTGTTTTCCCAATCTCCGATCTGGGTCCGTCCGTAACTTTTTTTTTTACTTGCATGAATTTCATAAACTGCAGTAAGCTTAGTACATTATCATTTATTGTGGTAATTTCTGAGGGAATTTTTTTGTGACAGGCCTAACTCACACTAGCAGAAAACTGAGCTTATACCAAGAGCTATAGTGAGTGTAGTAAGATACACCTCCAAACATAACTGCTCACACACAGACATGGATGATTTCTTATGAAATGGTAAAAAGGGGTCACTCACCCATTTAAACCCACTGAAGACGGTTGCAGAGTGCTGCAATGGCTTCTGGGTGGGACTAGAGCAAAGAGTGGGAATGTGGCTACCCGGGCTGACATGGGAGGTGTGATGCTGCTGCTGGGACAATCTCATCTCCGTAGCAGACTGGTTCCCAGACACAGAAGGCACTGACGATACTGACACTGAAGGCACAAATTTTCTCTCTGGGGATTGGAATGAACATGGAACAAAAACACATACTGTACTTGCTGTAAAGACAGTAAATTCTTTCTGATGAGATAAGGAAAAAAAACAACTCATGTCCTGAGTAGCTGTTAGCGTTACTCAGTAATTAGCTTTGTAATGTAGAACCTTACCTGGGTTGGTAACAGAGGAAATAGTTACTTTGTAATTGGCTTTACTGGTGCTGAGGCCTGCGATAACATCCTCAATCCTCCACAGCTCTTTTCTGATCTGAACTTTCTCTTGCTGCTTGCAGAGAGAAACAGAACCACTTAAAACATAAAACTAATACATTTACTTTAAATCATGCAGCTAAACTGCTCATGCACAAAGGCAATGCTTGACTTGACGTCTATCCGCCCTTTTTTTTACCCCATAAATAAAGATTTAAACTGAAACTAATGGACGATTCTTGACAAGATATCAACCAAACATATTTTCTTATCTTATCCGAGCATCTGAAATCAGTCATCTGTAACTCATTATGATTCATGCCCGTACGTAAAAGTGAACGACAACTTGTGTGGATTTTCAGAGCCACAACCTGAGAAAGATCGCTGCGATTCATCTGTCCCTGCAGGGCTGACTTCAACCAGTCCACATCTCTCTCCAGCTGCTTGTACTCATTCCATGCATTCTCCATCTCCTACAGAACAGGACGTTACACAAACCGTTAAAACACATATAATAAGATGTTTCTTTAAAATACTGTATTTTTCACATAAACAGGAATATTGTTTTGGATTAAAACCTAAACTTTACACCTAACCTCGTGGAATTGGTATCTTAAAATTATTTAATTGTTTCCAATCAAAAAAGGCACTTTATATAAATGTGACTCATCCTATCCAAWCCAGGATTAACTCTAAAAATGGGATGTGGAGATACGGGGTTTTGATTAAAACATTTGCAAAAAAATTGCATTTTGTCAAACTATCCCATCCATCTCCATCTTCTTCTGCTTATCTGTAGCCGGGTCGCAGAGGCAAAAGGTCCAAGAGAGAAACCCAGACATCCCTCTCCCCAGCAACACTTTCCAGCTCGTCCTAGGSGACCCCAAGGTGTTCCCAGGCCAGAGAGGATACATAATCCCTCCAGCAAGTCCTGGGTCTRCCCCTGGCCCTCCTACCAGTGGTACGTGCCCGGACCACCTCTAAAGTGAGGCGTCCAGGAGGCATCCCAATCAGATGCCCGAACCACCTCAACTGACTCCTTTCGATGTGGAGGAGCAGCGGCTCTGAATCAAATCATTTTGTCAAAATATAATTAATAAATTCCTTATCAACGTATCATCTGAATAAACTGACTGGAATATAATAAAAAAA